TAATATTCTGGGAGTTCTGGCACTCATTAGAGTTCATGATGTATCTGAATGGACGTGTTAGCCGCTTCATAATTCTTGTATTTCTATTCGTAGATTTATTTATGCTGCACAGGCTCGAGATTGTTGGACGTTTTAGTCGCTTCATACATCTTGCCTCCACTCTCCTAGAATTTCTTTAAAATTATTAGCTGGCTTCCTTTGGCCCAATTTACATGAGCCCAACTTCAAATGCCCAACACCGATCTTTTCTTTCTCGTCTTCTCGAGAAATCAGTCGAGAAATATTTCTGTCGAGTTCTTGAGAATCGTCTCCAAGTTCACGCCGATTTTTTCTCGCTCATGATTTCTCATGCTTTCACACGAATTCCTTCCCAACTCGCAATTGCGATTTCACTATTAAATTTCTTCCCCGGCTCGCGATTGTCGCATTTTCAGTCGCCAATTTCTCATGTATTTTCTTCGCAATAGATCTCAACTCGAGATTTTCTTCTTGTTCCAAGTCGCAATTTCTGCCAGCGACATACCAGTCGCGATTCTCTGCTCTTGGTCGCGATTTGCTGCCAATTCATGATTTGGTGCAATTGACGGCTATCGGTAGGTCATAGTCGCGATTTGCTGCTAACAACGATTTGCTTTTGTTCGTTTTTTGGAATTTTCATCTTGAAGTTTGTTGTTTTTCCTTGGAATTATTGGCTCGATTTGCTGCTAACAACGATTTGCTTTTGTTTGTTGTTTTTGATCACAAATTGCCCAGCTGGCAATTGCAATTTCGTGGATTTCTTCTCGACTCGCAAGCGCGATTTCATTAACGAAGTTCATCCTAGTGGGCGATTCTCTTTCACTTAATCCTCAGTACGTGAGGCGCTCGTCTTTATTTTTTTTCAATTTCTAAGAGTTCCAGTCCGAATCGTTATTCATCTTTTCTGGTAGCAAATTTTCCTCAATTTGTGATGTATTGGTCGCGGTCTTTCAGTTGCGATCTTTTATTTTGTAAGTCGAGTCGAGATGTGAACCGCTGCTCCTCCCTCGACATGTTAAATTGAGTCGAGATTGCGATTTCCCATCACTGATGTGTTACTCATGATATTCTAATCGTGATCTCTATTTTGCGAGGTAACATGTCGAGATTCCTATTTTGCGAGAAATCAAGTCGAGACTTTTTATCATGTGAAATATCAAGTTGAGCTTTTTGTTTTGAGAGATATCAAGTCGGGACTTCTTCTGCATGATAGAAAATCGAGGCAGGTAACAAGGTGAGGTTCTTTTTCTCTCAGCGACGTGTCATGGATCGTGACTTCTGCTTCTCTCGACTTTCGATTTCCTATTCGCGATTTGCCTGCTTGCGTTGTCTAAGATCGACAGATTAGTTTTTTCTGTGGTTCATGATCGGTCGTTTGATTCAATTGTTTATCCTTGTTATTCCTCGATTTTCCTGTGATTGTTTCCTGTGAGATTGATGTTCTTGATCCCCGTATTTGACCCATTAAATTGTGTTAAACACGAGTCTCTACTTGTGCTGCTTCTGAGTTGTCTTTTGACATGCTCGTTTTCTCTTTTGGTTGCTATCTCCCTGTTTCGAGGTGTATTAGC